CTTGAAGAAGCACTTAGTAATTTATAAAAGTCATAAAAAACAGAATAAGAAAACAAACCCTCCGTGGCTTATATTGAATCAAATTAGGTTACGAAATACTCGAGCACAATCCATACGAAATTACTAATGCTACTTTTGCTTTTTGTTTCACCCTAAAGCTAATAATATCTTCTTCGTTGAGTCTAATTGGGAAAACATACCCAAAAGCTTCTAGCAAAGAGCCCAAGTGCAGTTGCATTACCTTTTTAACCTTCTGTTCTCTTTGTCAGCCGGGCTTCTCCCTCTCCTCTTTGAACCGGTGGCAGAGGGCTGGGCTGTGCCCACTACCGAACTACCTTCACGGCCGGAGGTTGTTGGGCCGGTGGCCTCACCTCCAAACTCCGGCACTCGTCTAATCTCATCATCGCTCTCCATACCTGAGATCAATTTTTTTGAAACAAGTTCGTTAAATCTCACAATAGAGTACTAAATGATGTATTCATCCACTTGCAACGCGTGTAGTAGTGTAGTTTTACTTCTAAAGGAAACCTCATATTAAAAAAATAAATACAAAATCCACTAAAATGAACTGAAACTGTGGCATCAAACACACCACTATATTAAAAGCTTCAGAGCAAAAAAATCACCAGCTGGCTTACCATGATGAAAGAGGGACAATGAGCAAAAAAGATAAATAAAAAGGCAACAAGCATCGAGAGAACGGGTTCATGATGTGAACCCACCATAGAAAAGCAGAAAAAAAAAATGGATTTTGAAAACAAAAATGAACTTCTCAGCAAAATAACACAATAAAATTCAATTACTAGGAGATATGAACACAGACGAAAGGAAAATAATTGAGGATATAAAACACTTGGGAAAAAAGAAAGAGACCTTCTTTAAGAGCAGAGCTTGAAGATCTCTCGCTGCTCGAAGGTAGAGAGCTGGCAGCGATAGATGTACTTATGGTTTGTTCTTGCATTTCCTTCTAGAATTTAAGAATCAACACAAATAAGGTATTATAAAATAAAGAGAATAGAACAGAAGATGAAGAGAAATGTTGTGGGAGAGAGAACAAACAGGTAAGGTAAGTGTAAAAAATGACATGTTACGTTAGAGCATACTAGTACGTAACCGTGCGATGCACGAGATATAAAATTTGGAAGAATAATATCTCACGTGCATTAAGATCGAAATTGAAATCATTAAAATACATAGGAACATTGTTGAATCATAAAAAGTTCGGTAACAATCATAAATTATTAAAAACCTCCTTGTACACAACATTATGAGTTTGATCACAAACTAATATTTTCAATCCCCTTCTATTATTTACACGCGAAACAGCAACATATAATTAGCCGTAACTAAAAACGGGTTTCTTCAGGAAAAGACCAACGTGCGATAAAAAAAGAGTTTTTGAAAAAAGAGTTTTTAAAAATTGAAAAGTCAAGACAATCAGTTCAGATTAATTAAAGGTCAAAGAATATCCGCTCCTTGAAATAAAGACGTGTGCTATCATTAACCAAATATCCGGTTATTGATATAGAGTAGTTACCAAAAAATAGAATGCGATAAGGACGCTTCATGGAAATATCAATGGGATAAGGTCATAACAGATCGCTATACATTTTAACGATAAAAGCTCATATGGAATGATTTAATTAGATGTGTGAAAATGACATAATTAATGAGAAGTGTGAAAAGGACAAAAACTTACCGGTTTTGGAAAATATTTAATGCAAATCCGACATTGACCATAATTTGACCTACTATTTTGGATAAATGTTAATTCTTATATAAGTATAGATTAGAACCAAGAGAAGAGGGGGCGGTCCAATCAAATAAAGCGCACAATAAGATGTTGAACTTAGTTGTACCTTAGTGAGGTTTCATTACAAAATCAATTGGTGATGGAAGGAATAGCCCACTAAGTTTATAAGCTATGAGTCATTCGTAAGCCCAAGCCCACATAGCATGCCGGGTAGAAAGATAAGCCCAAACCCAGAGCACGCCGGGTAGAAAAAGTCATTGTAGGTTCTAGGATATGCCCGCTCTTATACTATATTAAAACTGGGGAAAGAGGGTGCGGTCCTACTAGATGAAACGCAGCATTAAAGGGTGAACCTTGTTGCATCTTAGTGAGATTTCATCTCAAAACCAATTGATAATTGAAGGAGTAGCCCAACTTATAAACTAGGTTCATTGAGACAACTCACAACTGATATTCCAACAAGTCCTAAACATACATATGATACCGTAGGCGTCAGATTCGATTTTATGGAAATTAAGAATGATTGATCATGGACGAATGCGAAGCGACATGTTAATCAAGAGCAGAAATGTTTTTATGGAAATTAAGAATGATTGATCATGGACGAATGCCAAGCGACATGTTAATCAAGAGCAGAAATGTGAGTATATAGGCGAAAGGTAAACATGTGTGACTGATAGAACGAAGAAATCTGAGTAATAGATGAAAGGTAAACATGTTAATTAAAAGTAGGAATAGATAAAAGGTAAACATGTTAATTAAAAGTAGGAATATGATTAACGTGTGATTTATATGATGTCCAGATATTAACTAGACTGATATATAATTTTGATCTAGATTGGACTGATCTAATTTTGATTTATATCAAATTATTTTGTGATTTTTTTTGTATAACTAAAACTTTTATTTTTAAATTTTATTCAAATTATTTTATGATTTTTTATATGCTATAACAATATATATAATTTTTATTTTGAAATATTGTTTATTGTTTCATATAGTTTTTAAATTTATTGTTACACATTTTATTATTTATTTCTTTATTATTTGTAATGAGGATATATTGATAAGTGAAATATTTAAAACAACTAAAAGCAACTTGATATATTGTACATACAAATTAAATCCAGTAATAGTGAAAATATTTATAAAATATTTAAAAAAATCCGTAAAAACCTACAAAGATAGTATGTAAAAAAACATGGTAAATGATTCAAAAAAGTCATTTTAATAAATTTAGTTCAATAACTTTAAAAATATTTTTACACTATTTTTTAAATATTCATACAAATACTCTGGAATAATTTATTTGTAGAAAATGAACATCCTACAAGTATGTAAAATATTACAACAATTATTATTTTTTTTCTTATATTTACCTATTAGAATTTATCGATTTCCAATTAAGTTTATAAGTGCAAATTATCAATCAATTTTTAATTTTATTACATATTTTTTCTACCAAATACAAAATAGATGTAGGGTCTAATTTATAAAATTGTTAAATATGTAGATAAGATTGAAAAAAAAAAAAAAAATATTGAAACTTATGCTCTCAATCAAAACTTCTACTATTTCAAGTGAACAGACTTCATTTAAAGAATTCAATGGCTAACTTCCTCAACACAAATGGTCAACAACAAATCTGAGAGAAGGTTTGACAAAACATTTCCAAAGGAAGACTGGTCATTGGTAATGTAGTCTAATTTAACACAAAAGCAAAAGGCATAACCAAGAAAACAAACGAACATACAATAATTAAATAAAAAATGAACATATATTTCTCAATGAAATCTCGTTCAAGGACGAAATAGGGCACCAAAATGTGCTAGCCAGAGATTAGTTCATGGCGTCATAGTCATCCAACCTGTCATTATATTCCAAGACTCTTCTCCTTATCTTTGATGTATCCACCCATGTTATGAAGTCTTCCATGTTCCTCGTGACGAGGAATGCAGGGTCTGTAACAGTATCTGGCCCTACACGAATATGCCCCTGCTCGATATATGTCACTGCTTCTTTCAAGTGCTCTGCAAACTTCAGCCGAACCAAAACAGTGCCAAGCCTACGCCTGAAACAAATATAAAACACGCAAATTAAAAAAGCACTTTCTTTTTAGTTTTATTTATTTGCTTTTCCATTGGGTCTTCCTTTCTGTGATGATAAATATAACACATGTCAAACTGTAGCATAGAAATATTTGTATATTTTATTTCAAACAGGGAAATAACTATCTATCTGTTGGCTGGCATATGCAGTCAGATCACTATATACTTGGATCCATGTTCCGTACACCGTGTAAATTCATCGAGTTTTGCAATATTAGAAACAAATGGACATAATAAAACTTTACAACTCGCTTACCGGCAGAAAGATGATACCAACAACCGCTCGCACAAAGCCAAACTTTTACGAGACGATATAACGCCCATGTTGTACCTAAATTGATGGAACATAAAAATAAGAAAATAAAATATTAATTTGTACCTTTTTGACATTGCAATTAATTGATAACAATAATGACTAGGACAAGAAAAACAAAAGCTGCCTTATTTGGATTAGAACCTAAGCATAGAAAATAATGAAGAAAAATGGTCTAGGAAAGAGTATTTAACAAATAAGAGCTTCACTTTATGACAAACCTTCATTAGCCTAGCTATTCACAGGATTCCTAAAACTGTGAATAATATGCAGGAGAGCACATAAATGAAATAAAATATTGAAGGTTAGGCAATCAGAAAGCACCTCAAATAAACGGTATGTGTGTCCAATTAGCCAAATACAGAGCCAAAGGTTTCTGGTACCAATATTTACCAACACAATCGGGCAGTCCTAATGTTTTGAAGCATTTTTTTATGTGACGTAAACACTAATCTCTGAACATCATATCCTTGGTTATACATTAAAGGGTAACATTATGTCAAGTAGTTATGAAAAACCCAAGTTGTATACACAAGAAGAACAAAATGAACTAGACAGACTATTAGACCAGAAGAAAACAATTCACCCATAATTAGGCTCCATTATTACAAAAATGTTTGTAAACTGAATTCTAATTCTAAAACTCACAGCTTTTCAAGAAGAGCATCAGTCATCTCAATTCTGTAAGGATCTCTTGAATCCATCTGCTTCAGAATGTTCACTACCTTCTGCACCATTCTACACAAACTCGAGTACCTAAAAACGCAACAACAGCCCATATTAAACACGAAATTTCACAGCTTGTTAGAAGATTCAGACTGAATTCAGCTAAAAAAAGGAACAGATATAGAGAAAAAAAGGTACTTTTTATAGTCGTCTCTGCCGGTGACGTGATAGCGATGGATTACGAGATTTTCCCTCTGACCGCCTTCTCTCTTCCATTCCAAGAAATCAACTTTCTTTAACAGTTTCTTCTCGTGAACCTTGAGCTTCCTCATCTTGTAAGAGGTAGGGAAAAAGAATCAGTTCAGAGCGGAGTAAAAAACCTAACAATACAAAATTTTGGAGAAAGAAGACAGAGGGGGAGAGTCTCGATGTGCTTTTGATAAAGCTATCAAAATGTAGCCCGCCAAAGCCGGTCCCCGCCTTGGGCCACGGTTTTGGCGGGCCAGGCTCGCCTATTTTCCCTAAAATGAAAATGCTTTCACTATTATTTATTAAAAAAAAAAAACTGCTTTAAACTTAAAAAAATGCAAAAACAATAATCATAATCCAAAAACCAAAAGCATTACAATCATCACAAACCAGAAGCATCATTCCAAGTTGACCATTACAAACAAAAGCTAAACATTACAAGTTCATCAATCATCATAATCCAAAAACCGCCACATCAAAGAAAACAACTTAATGTCCAAAGATGTCAACTTCCGAAGTACTCATCATACGAACATGAACAAAAAACACACCACCGCAGCAAAAAAAGGACTACAGGAGACATTCTCAGCACCAAATTTAGCAACAACCAAAAAGTTCAGTCTCAAATACACAAATTTCAGACACAGCCAAAAAAATAGTCCCAACAACAAATTTCAGCAAGTTCACAAATTAAATCCTGAATTCACAACCTCACCATCACAAATTCACAAACTTCAGTCTCAAATGAAATACCCCAAAATTAACATATTTTCAGCCTGAATTTTATATTTATAAGCCAAAAAATTTCAGTCACAACATCACCATCGAGATTCAGTTATTTTAAGCCACAAAATGAACATATTTTTAGAGGGACAAAGATTTGAATTGAAAATACCTGATACAGGGAAGCACGGAGGTTGAGACCAGGAAAATCGCGAGCCGAACTTCGAGCTTCGACTCGTGGATGGAGAGCTTCGACTCGGAGCCTGGGTGCAGCTCGGAGTCGGAGGCGTAAGTCGAAGTCGGAGGCGAGGTTGGAGGCGGAGGCGACAAAGAAGACGACTAGACAAGAGTATGAGACCAGGGTTCTGCTTGTGTCGTGTGTGTAGAATTTTATCGATTTACTATTTAGTTTAAGGTTTGGGGTATATGTGCAATTATCAATCAATATTTAATTCTATTACATTTTTTTGTTCTATCAAATAAATAATAGATGTAGGGTTTAATTAATAAAATTGTTAAATATGTAAATAATATTGAAATTTTAAAAAATGATGATGTGGAAAAAAAAATCTAGAGTGTTGGATGAGTTTAATAATTGGGAAAGAACTAATGTAACAATTATGCAAAATATTCTGAAAATAAATATTAATTACTACAAAATAAGGTAAAATGAGACTTTTGATATTATAATAAGTCAGTCCATAAATTGTTGGTTATTATTCCCATAAATTGAAGGTTATACAAGAAAAATAAAAATAAAAAAATTCAATAAAGCCCATTTATTATCATCATAATTAAACGTAATTGAAACCAAAATCCCAACACATTAGCAGCATTCCCATGCACCATTTTCTGTTTTTGATAGTAAACTTGAAACACAACCTCGTATAATAATTAATAACCGGGCAGTTCGTGAATGGCGGTCGCTCGTTTTCTGTAACTTGTACTCCTCACACAACTACCTCTTGTTCTACAGAAAACCTTAAAATTGATTTAACATTAACAGTAAGAACAGAAATCTTACAATTCACCGGTAACAAGCAGCCTTAAAACGTCCAAGTAAAATAAGAGTACAAATACAACAAGTTTTACTATACACAGAACCAAAACCGCACTTGTCCGATGAAAAAAAAAAAAGGAAATTTTTTCTAGTTGGTAAAAACAGATTCCCGAGTAGACCTTTGATAAGGAAGGCGATGTTCAGGTACCCCTTCTTCAGCTCGTTTATCTTCAAACCATTTCACAACTTTTTTTCGAGGCAAGTTTGTTATGTGCACAATGCTGCTAATCATCGTATTCTGCAATGGTTTTAGAGAAGGGATATGTAGCATACAGTTAGTAGTTTGGAATAAGTGAGGGGACAGAATTTAGTGAATGTAGTACCAAAATATGAATAAGGATCATAAGATTAACATGAAGTGGCACTTCCTCCTTTGAAGCTACCAGCATATTAAGTAACAATAACCGGATTTTGGCAAATTTGATTAGATAGAAATTTATGTCTACTTATGCTTGATTTTGTTAGATATATATTCCCACATGTAAATATGCATATTCCTGGCAATATAAGATGCGACAAGAAGTTAGACTCACAGTTGGGCGCTTAGTTCGCCTGTAGACTTGCTCGAGAGTCTCAACTTGTGCTTTCTTCAGTCTCTTGCGAGCAGACCAGTTTCTTTGCATGACATGCACCGGAAGTTTCTCCTCCTCCTTAACTTGGGGTTTTGTTGTATCTGCCATGGGCTCCGAAGGTGCAGCAGTCTCGATGGTATTCACAATTGGTTCGTCGGGTAATGTGGCACTCAACAAGACGAGATTTGGAGGAGGGTCACGGAGTATTGACAGAACGATTGCTCGATCGAGACACACATCAGCAGCAAGGCTTTTGATCTGCAAGACAAATGAAAAAGAAAAAATTAACAAGGAAGTTTAAGTTAGCATCTCCAGAAGCGCGCGTTAGTTAAGTATAAAAGACTATTGTGCAGCAAAAAAGCATGATACTCTTTTAAAAGTTAAGATTACTAACAAATTATCAAAAACCTAAAATGTTGGTTATCGAAATTTGGTAGATGATACAGAAAGTATTTTGGAAGGACCCAAATTTTTCATCAAGCATTTGACAAACAAGTCGTATGTTTGCTTTACGTGTTTAAAAGTCAAATCAGAAGCAAAAAACAGCAATTCAAAGGAATCATCTTTCAGATTCCAGTGCACTATATGTGTGTAGAATCTTAAATAGAAGTTGGCATTTTAGCACCAAAATGCAGAAACTAGTTTTCGTCAGTAAAAAGCCGTGAATCACTTTCTTTAAGTTCCCTTAGTCCGTATGAATAAGTGATGAATTACGATAACACCCCAAGATAATTCACAAAGCTATATAACATTAGACTAGGACTCACAGCAGTCTTTCGACGGCCCTTTTTCAAGGCATAGGCCAACCTCTTCAATTGCCAATTCTTAAGTTCTACCCGTATTTCATCATCATCATCATCATCATCTTCAAGTGCCAATTCTTCATTGTCATCATCAACTTCATATTCATTATCCTCGTCATCATTTTCTTCATCTTCATCTTCATTGTCTGGTGCCCCCAACAACTCATCATCTTCCTGCAGGGCCTCTGCTAGTTCTTGCTCGAGCTTTGCAAGGTCCTCCTCACTTATGTCATCATCTTCACCATGAGTACCATTCAATTCATCATTTTTCAGATCTTCTTCAAGCTGTTGAAAAAGGGCCTCGAAAGCAGCTTCATCTATGTCTTCCTCGTCTCCGCCGGCCTTTTTGGGAGTGCGCTAAGACAATGCAGCAGAAAAAGGGATTCTTTTACAGGAGGCCAAATAGATTTCCTTGGTTCATTACACTTTCTTCTTTCTAAAAACTGAATAACAATTCTACTCTCAATGGATACACAAGAAATGCAAATAAGAGAAAGGTACAAGATCCCAGGGGAAAACCTGTTGCAATAATTTCACACAAAAACACACACACACAAAACTAAACCTGCAGCTGCACAGTTAAAAGTTTGAAATTTCGAACATGACTCCCAGCAACAAAAGCAGATAAACTTTGGCAAAAATGCATCTTTGACACAGAAAGGCCATTTTTTCCCTCCTTATCTATGTCCAGCTCATAGAAAATCAAACCACAAATACATAAATGAACTCATACAATCAGCTGCCGCTAAAACTATACGAACGAGTAGATATATGAGGGTACCTTTTTCTTGGAAGTGACGAAAGGGGTACGGCGGCGGGTGGAGAAGGTGAGGCCGTGGAGCCGAGGCGGCGGGCGATGTGGCTGGAGGGTATTGGCGAAAGGGTTTCTTGAAATGGAGGCTTCTCTGGTAGCACGAGCTCGCTGGAGAGTAATGGATATCTGAACAAGGGTTGTTGTTGACGCCATTTTCCTTTGTATTTCCCAATATCTCACTCATTTAAATACCTTATTTTTATTTTTGTTTTTTTGGTCGGTACTCATTTATAAATACCTTTGATAATTTCATATCGAATATTTTCATATTCTAATTTAGATTCATACAAATTTCGAATACCAAATAGTAAATACCATTCTCATCTCATTCGAATTCGTCTTCAAGTTTTTACGATTATGAATCATGAACTCTCAATCAAAATTTTCTTGGTTTCATATTTAAGTTTTTTACAATTACGAATCACGAACACTCAATCAATTTTTTTTTATTTTTTATTTTTTTACAACTCTACCGCTGCTCAAGATGAGTCACAGTGTTTTAGATGTTACAAATCTAGTCAAGTGGCACAAATCATAACTCGAGCTTGTTTTTAACTTCACAATATTGTTTAAATTTAATTTAGCTTCTAGGTTTACGTTTGAGCTCAACCTAATTTTGTTGAATCAAGTGTGAACTAACACTGAAAAATCTCAAAAAAAAAAACTTCCAGCTGCATGAATTCTCAGTTACACCTACATATGATGAAAAATCTTGTAACGCAAAAAAATTTGAGTAAAGTACAAAGATCAACAAAAATAGGCCTATCAATGACTGTAAGTCAGTTGCAGCTACAAAAACACACTCTAAAACATGGGCCAACTTCACAGTAATAGTAGTTATGCACATTCTGAGCCTCTTCCTCTGACCTAACATCTTTTGTTTTTCCATTCTTAAAACTTTTACCCATCTGCAGAATTATTCTAGACAGCTTTACCATTTACAGATACAACAGATTCCTCTTTTTTTTTTTCTCAATATTTTCCCACATACTATGCCAAAAATCTCTACTTTAGTATACCACAACTCGAAGGAGCCCTGGCTGAGGCTCAGTAAAATCGAGACCCTCTTCTTCTAGAAGGTACCTTTGGACAGCAACTGGTAATCGAGCTGGAGTACGTGAACCTCTCGTGTGGTGACCTGTCCCCACACATATGTAGACAAGCAAGCGTTGGTCAATTGACCTGGCTGCATTTCTAATTAAGGCTAGCTCACGCTTAAGCACGTGAATGGCTTCACTCACGTGCAAACCATGAAGATCGATCATTCTTTCTCTCCCATTAGTCTGAATATCTGAATTTCTGCATATAAGTGAAAACAAACACCAAATAATGAGACTCGGGAATATTCTTTTCAACATATGCTTCTTATTTGACTTCTCTACATCCACCCAAAATCTCACGTTTAATCTATAACCAGCTGTAAGCTTCCATTACAAATACTATGATCTTATTCTCAGCTAGTTTTCGTGTTGCTACAATCACTTATCTAGAAAGAATAAGTGTATTTGCAAAGACACCATTAAGAAATGGCAGATGATTTAAAAGGCAAGCACAAAATTTTGTAATATGGACCAAATAATATAATCAGTCAAGATTTCTGAGGATTTCTTCTTTTTACATTTCAATTTTCAACAACTTGAGAAGGGTAGGTTGTTTTTCTCAACAATTAACAAAAATTTATGCTTCCTCATGGTACCACAAACAACTAACCTCTGACGATATATAGTTTCATGTGCCTTCACGTGAGCTGCTTTCATCTGCATGTTGTGCAACTGCCCTTTAATGCTCAACTCCTTGGCTAAGGCCTTGTTACCAATAAGGTATGCTTGTCGAGCCTAATCTCTCAAGGACGTTTCAGAAAACATTAGAAAAGGGAAGCAGAATATTCTTCACCAATTTATATACAAGTTCAAAGGAAAACATTTAAATAAAATACAAACTCCTTGGTTGCATGAGCGTGTTATTTCATAAGCTCAAACTTATACAAGGGCAATCCATTCATGTTCCCGCAAAAATATCACAGTAGCAATGAATAGGTGAAAGAAATGTAAAGTAAAACCTGTTATCAAACCAACTCTAAACAGTAAACACATACAAAATTGCCCGCACACACATAGACAAACAGAGAAAAGAAAGAGTGGACTTCTCTCCAAATACAGAAGAAAATTATAGTTACTATTTCGTTGTCACTTCGTTTTTCATTACATCCATCTTCTACCACTCTGCATATTCTAAATAGATAACATACCTGTTCAAAGTACACATTACGCACACGCGCATGATCACGAGCTTCCTCCCGCATTTCAGAATACATATTAGCTGCCAGCTCAACAAAGTTAAAGCATATCTATACCCGCATAAAAACATTTTCCAAAAAAAAAAAGGGAGCAAGGAATACATTGCCTAAAAATTATCATTACCAACAGATTCTCCCGTTTCAAGCCAGACAGGAGGAGTGTGAGCTGATCCTCGACTTTGATACCTATCACCATAAACACCCGTGTTAGGACCACCAATATACGAGCTTGCCAAAACTTGCGAATTTCTACTTGATCCAATGCTTGCACCCGAAGAACCATTTCTTTCATACTTCCATATGTTGGAATCTTGAGACGCCATTTTTCTTACAGCTGAAGCAAAATCTGTGGCGCCTCTCGAGGGGACAAAGGAATTAGATCTGAATAACAGTGCGGAACCACCATTTTGATTGGGACTGTGACCTCTAGATTTTGATATATCATTCTGACCGTCTCTGGAAGAAAGAGCCGGAAAATCCATGGCGCTAAGATTAGGAGTGGACAAGGCTTTTGAGTTGAGACTTTGATTTAAGCCTCCATCGACCTGAAGCTGCAATAAAAAGGAAAAGTTAAAAAAACACTATTATCCATGTATTACTAAGTGAACACTTAGTGGAGGGGAAAAATATACAATATTAAAAAAAGACCCATCCTTGGAATAGCCGATGGTGTATGAAAGAGTATATCCATTGAAAATCATTCCAACCAAAATTATGCTTTGTCAAGCACACTCAATAACAAATAACAAAGTACATATTAGGCATAGAATTAATATTGCAAGTCACTATTCAATCCCTCGACTGACAAAGGTTAAAATGTAAGTCAAAAGAGAATGTAACTATTATCAAACTTCACAGCCACAAATACTGGCAAGATAGCCTACCTCGAGCTGAGTAAGCATTTCAATAGTTAGATTTAAATCCCCTGCATTAGCAAAATACACCTCTGCAAGACTTTCAGCAGCAAAACCCGGAAACTGTGAAGCCAAAATCTCAAGAGGGTTCACATCTGGACTGTCAGAAAGTAACTGCTCACTCGACACATCACCCAGAAAACCATGTCCCAAATTTCCACCTTCGTGTCCTTCTAGAGCAAAATGCTGATCATTTCCCACAATCGACGGGTCGCACAATTTACCGGGTGAAGGTGAAAAACCAGTGGGAGATACATATTTTCCATAAGGAGAGAATCTCAGCTTTTCAGCATGACTATTACCATTCATAGGATGAAGAGAAAGGCCTGATGAAGCAGAAAATTTTGAACCTTCATTGATATCAGTCAACGATAAGTTTGAAAATGGTAAGCTATTGACTCCTTGAGTGTCGTCTAAACCCATGACCTTGAAATCGGGAGTTATATCATCGGGAAGCTGATGGCGCCAATACTGCTGTGCTTCATCATCAGAATTGATTGAAATGGACGACTCTGATCTGTCTAATATGCTTTTCCCCGGTGTGAAAGGTGTGGAGTTAACAAACTTCGATAATGCCCCTGAGCTGCTGATGCTGGCAGTGGCAGAAGGCAACCTGAGGGCAGAAGGGACAAATTCTGTAGCGTTGGGGTTCAGAGTTGCTTTCGCAGCATTAAGCTTTCCGGACGATGCTCGTTTTCCAGGCGAGTACATTCTTGTTTTGTTTATTATGTTTCGTACGTAAAATGTATAGGGAATGGGTACAAAATATTTTTATTGAAAAAGCAAAAAGATGTTTCTGGTGGAACAGCTGGAGGTATAATACCGAATGCGTCAACCAAGCCCTGCAAATAAATGAAGTCTCCTCAATTAGAACATTCCATTGTAAATGGTGAGCTTGGCACAATAATAGTCAACTCTCATAAATGCAAACCGATAAGAAAATAAGAATCGCCGAGGAACCTAGCTGAACATTAAAGGGCAGAAGATAAGAGTTAACAAAGAGTTAACTCTTTGTTAATCGCCCTTTAATGCAACAACTTACAAACAAAGAGTTAACGTATAATACATTCTTTAGACAGGACGGGCAACAATCAGATCACAGCATGCACGGACAAATATTATCAAAAAGAGAAAATTTACAAATCATCATCATCACCATCATCGTCATCATCATCTAAAGATTGTACAATCATACTGCTAAAAATTGCAACAGCCGATGATTTCAGACTCGTTTCTCGTTCAAGCAGAACACGAAAAGTGCCAGTTTTCTTAATGCTCCGGAAAGTGGATAATTAGGTCAAGCTGAATGTTACCATATTTAGAATAACAAGCACCATCATATGGAAAAACAGACTAAAGACAGCAAAGAAAGCACGCATAACTANAAAATAAAGATCAAGTAAAAACAAGAAGAAACAACACGCACAGCTTTGAACTTCAATCGCACGACTCATATCAGTAGCTCTCAAAATCTGAACCATAAATCAGGAAGAGCCAAAAGGAAATACAATTGAAACAGAATAAAAAAGGCTGTAGCAGGCTCTGGCTCCCGTGAATATACCTTTACGAAGCTCAGAAGCCATGCCCAGTGTATCCATGACACCACAAACACGAAGATAAGATTTCAAAGGATTCAAAACAACTAAAATTGTACAATTGATAAAAAGAGAGTGAGTAGGTTATGCTCATCAGAACTTATATAGAGAGTATTGATTGCATTTCACCTCCTAATTTCGTGTTCTTTGGAATGAGAGCTTTTTTCCTTCTCTGTCTAATCTATCCATCTCTATCACAGACTTTTCATCTCTCGTCTTCCTTCTCATCAGTAGTAGGATTTTTCTTTTTTCATTTTTTCGCCCCTTAAATTTATTTTTTATTTTTTCTTCCTCTCCAGTACGGCCTTTTTTTTCTGTATAGGAAAGATATAAAATGACAGCATTTTATTTTCTTTCTTTTTCGAAAATAAAATTATACTAGTGCAACACCCGTGTAGTACACGGGTTATTTGAAAAAAAAATATAAAACATAAAATAATAGAAAAAACACATGTTGTTGTATAACTATTTCAACTCATTAAAATATATTAGTGTATTATATAAATATTCTAAAAAGATTTAAATATTTATATAAATAAAATAATATATAAAGCTAAATTTTTTATTTTGGTATTTTGTGAATTACGTCTAAATTTTTTATTATAATATTAAGCAAAAAAATCCTATTTACACGTATATAAGATAAGAATCCTATTTATTTTGGTGGTGGATGGAGGGGATCGTATTAAACAAAAATGATATTAATTAAGTATTTTAAACAATTAGGGAATGTATCTGAACCAAAAGCCGAAACATGTAATGTTGTCAAGTAAGCTTCCGAAGTGTGCGTGGCAGCTCACCACGTTTTCAAATTATATTAAGAGGAATCCTATTTATTTTGGAGGTGGAGGATTTACACAGGCATATAAGAATCCTAATTGGAGGGGATCGGATTAAACAAAACTGATATTTATTAAGTATTTTATATTAAACAATTAGAAAATGTATTCGAACCAAAAGCCGAAGCATGTAATGTTGCCAAATAAGTTTTCGAAGCGTGGAGGGGATCGGATTAAACAAAAATGATATTTATTTAAGTATTTTATTTTAAACAATTAGGGAATGTATCCGAACCAAAAGCCGAAGCATGTAATGTTGCCAAGAAAGCTTTCGAAGCATGCGAGGCAGCCATTTAGGTTCAGTACGTTTTCAAATTATATTAAGAGGGGATTTTTTTATCATTTTCATCATTAGGCATAAAAAGATTGTCTTAAAACTAGAAAATATTGACCATTTAGTAATAGCTCAAAAATGAACCCGTAGTTAGCCACTAGAGCTTTAATTTGGTTTGGCTCCCCAAGATTCGAGCTCGTTCGACTCACTTAATAAGCGAGATAAAATAAACTAAATTCGAACTTGTTTAGTTAACAAGTCGAGTTCAACCTCACTCACTAAGACTTGTTAAAACTAAAAAAAAAAAAAAAAAATCATATAATTTTCAATAATCAGCTCGTTCAAGCTCGAGTTCAACTCGTAAATATTAACGAGTCGAGCCCAAACTCAACTATGGGCTTATTTAATTATGAGCTCGGCTCGCTTACACTTTTAAGCCCAACACCTAAACTTTAAATGATAGTGTGTCTGTTTTAACAATGTCCACAAGGGTTGATTTAGGGCGGCTTTGGGGGCAAGCAGCCAAGGCTCATACCTAGGGCCTCAATTTTTTAATATTACTCATTTGTGTTAGGTTTGACTCATTACACAAATAAAGAGACCTAATTAATGAAGAGGCTAATGGCTAAATATGGACTTTGTGTGAGATATTTGAGGCCCTAAAATATTTGATTTGTGCGAGAATAAATATCCTTTGGAGTGATATGATTTTTCATTTTCTTCTCTAGGGTGTCCTCATGACTGCTTGCATTTAATTTATCAAAATTTTTGTAAACCCAAAAGTAATTTATCATTTTCAATATCTATTTCAGGTATGATGGAAAAATACGAAAAATTATTTATTTTCTAATAATTTATTTAATTTATCTTGTTGAATTAGGTTTTTTTATTCTATATATGGTAAAGCCAAAATGTTCTTTTCAAATTAAATTTTGAATTAAAGCCAAAAGGATCCTGACTTACTAGTAAAAAAAATCCTAACTGCTAATTAATTTTTTGTAAAAAATGTTTGGGGCCTCCAAATTTCTAGAGACGCCCTGGATTGATTGACCCTTTTGGTTTCTCTGAATGAAAGGTTATTTGTGTTTCACATATAAGTTTGAATTCAGTTTTACTAAAAGGATGATATGACATTTTCTTGCAGATGTAAAAGGGACAATCTTTAGTTATAGTTTACATTTCCATGCTCACCACTCAAAGGCCATGCAGTTAAAATCATCAAGCAGGAATGAAGAGAAAAAAAATGTGCTTCACAATAACTGGAAATTCACACAAGTAAATAAAATCCAACAACATAAATTCAATATCTTTCACAGCTAATAACTGGCCTCACAACATGTAAAATTTCAAAAGACTGTCCTGTTTACAGTATCAGTACAATCAAAAAGCCTGGGACACAGGGAAATAACCGTTATCCCATTCAAAATTCAAGAGTAGTAGCACGACTCCTATATAATTTCGGAGCATCTATTGTCAGCAAAAGAATAGAATAGTGACTTCAAAAATGTGCACGGGAAAAAGTCGAACAACTCAACTGCTATCGCTGGTCATCAATTTTCAATATAACTAGTTCGCTTTGCTCTTGCTGCTGGCCTCTGGGCCTCAAATTCTTTGGGATAAAACTTCTTACACTTTCAGGTAACCTGGAAGTACACAAGAAATTAACATTCCTCAAGGAAAATGAACATGCGGTGATAAGAGAGACACATACACTGAAACAGGTTGCACAGATTTGTAGAAGAAAAACTCAGCTGCTCAGCTGATAAGTACAACTAAGAGATTTACAGTTTTAGACTACTTACTGGATTATTCGGTACTTCAATCAAATATCAACAGTAAGTTGCATGTGCAAAACCAACCAAATATATATCCCATGTAATTGAATCAGGCACTAGAAAAAGTGGTAGTTAATATTGCAAAAATTGGTTTAAGAAGTCAAAAGAAACACCGAAAAGATAAATGTCAGACTTACAGATCCAATCTTTCATAAATTGCCCTCCGCACTGATGAGTTGAGTCCATATGCAATCGAGTTGAAGAGGCCCTAAAACAAGAACAGGAAGTGCAAAGCTTCAAAAATCAGTAATAAGGCACCATTAGACAATCAAAAAACGAGCCCTTTCGAACTAATATAGACTCACCATAAGTGCAGCCATGCCAACATCAAGAACAGAAAGCCAAAAGATCTTATGACCAGGTTCGATGAAGTCATGTATACGGTTGATTGTGCCAAAAAACCAAGATCCAATTAGAATAAGTGGGTAGTACCCCCATCGGTTTAGAGCCTGAGAATAGGATACAATAAAATGAAATAGAGGAAACAAAGAATTAACAAAAATATGTAATCCCATCCGTAATAAGCCAGTAGACCCGACAAAGATGTTCAGGATTAGACGTATTAGAAATTTAGAATAACAATGGCAAACAAACTTAAGTCGTCCTAAGTTTTAGACACAATATGAACAGAATCTACCCTCATATCTGGCCGTGCATCTGATTGATATGCCCTATCAGACATTCCTACAGCCATCTGTAGAAACAGAGTTTGCAATATTATGTGTCAGAAAAGAAGAAGTAAGAAT